GTGGGGGCGTGTTAGAACGAGCCGTTTTAGGGGGGCGTGGCAGAGTCTCAACTTTGATAAAGAATATCTCTTTGGTTTTGAGACTTTAGTCTTTGCAACTTCAGGGATCTTATCTATGCACAAACAGCTTGTAACACTCCAAAGATAAAGGAAAACTTGAAATCGCATCATATGACTCCTTTAAATGCCCTAAAGTTTTTGACTAAAATTCGACCAGACACCAAAGAAACATTGACAAACGTAACAGACCGTCATCACAGACACAGAAATTGTCATTAATTACTCATCCTCATATTGTTCCAATCCCATCTGACTTACTTTATTTTCTGTGGATCACAACAGGTGAGTTTCTGACAGGATATTCTTCAAATATTTGTGTTTTTGTTTCCATTTTCATTTTGGGGAAACTTTCCATTTGCGAGCAAAATTCTGTGACTATCGGGAGAAATATGATGTTTATGAGCTGGTTAAACTGGCAACACAAGAAAAATAGTTTAGGCCTTATCTACCAGAGATAACTAAAGGTACAAGCTGCTATTTCTGCCCCTTAAAGGTTGCTGAAGGTACTGCAACAACAGACGATTTTTGAGACATAAACCAATGTTTCCAGTCTTTAGCCTGATTTCTTTCGGTGGTAAATAGCAGATTCGGTGGCGTATACACACTAACCAGTGTTCTTGAAGGTCTCAGAGGCCGTCCATCCAACTGGTGGGATACGAAGGGGGACTTGTTAAAGGGGCCTGGTCAAGGGTGGCTTGTGGTCCGTGTTGGGATCATTGCAGTTTGATTGAAGTTCAGCGGAGATTAGGGGTGTTTTGTGAAGCTAAGCCTGGCCAAAGCTCTAGATAATTCCAAAATGGGATTCCGTGCCTCCGATTGGTTTTAGCAATTTTCTGACTTGCTTTTTGTAACTGAGATGTTCGCTACGGTTTACTTTGTTGTAGCCCGGCCCAGTAAGTTTTTTTTTTAATGTTTTCTCATTGATTAAAGAAATAGTTCGCCTTCTAAATGTGTCCATCATGATTCGCTCACCTCATATTGTGAAATACTAAGGTGAATTTTTGAAGAATATGCTAGCTACTCTTTTACATATAATAGAAATAAATGGCAGCTGGGGCTGTCAAGCTACAAAATGACCAAAAAAGTACCATAAAAACACCATAAAAGTGGTTCATACGACTTGTGCACTATATTCATTGTCTTCTGAAGTCACACAATAGATTTACATGAGAAACAGAATGAAATGTATTCACTAATATCTCTCATTCAGAGAGTGTTTGTCCTGTAAGTGGGTTGAAACAACTTCTGTGCACAATTCTGAATGCATGTGTCTGTACCTGAACACAGTCTAACTGTGCATGTTTGTGTGTTTTTAGCTTCCTGTGAAAGTCGGCGTGCAGAACACACACACTAAAATCAGCACGGAGCACAATAAGGAATGTCTGATCAACATCTCCAGGTACAAATTCTCCCTGGTCACCAGTGGACTCACCAACATACTGAAGACCGTCAATAACATGGTGAGTGTTTATTCAAGAGTTGGTGCACAAGCACAATATATGAATACAAATGGAGTTATTGTGTATTTAATGTGTATTTTTAATATTTTATAATATGCACACTTCCATTCAAAAGTGTTCAAAGTCAGGGAGGTTTTTATAAAAAAAGGTCTCTTACACTCACTAAGGTTGTGTTTATTTGATCAAAAATACAGTAAAAACAGTAATATTGTAAAATATTATTTATATTTAAGATAACTGTTTTCTATTTTAATACATTTTAAAAATGTAATTTATTCCTGTGATGGCAAAGCTGAATTTTCAGCATCATTACTCCAGTCTTTAGTGTCACATGATCCTTCAGAAATCATTCCAGTAACCTGAATTGGTGCTCAAGAAACATTTCTTTTTATTATCAATGCTGAGAGCAGTTGTGCTGCTTTATATTTTTGTGGAAAACATGATATATTTATTTTCAGGATTTTTTGATGAATAAAAAGTTCAAAAGAACAGCGTTTATTTGAAAGAAACGTAAACATAGCTAAATGTAACATAAAAGTCTTTACTGTCACTTTTGATCAATTTAATGCATTGTTGCTAAAAAAAAAAAAAAAAGCTTCTGGACAGTCTTTAGCAGCTTTGATGTTTATTTTAAAATGTAATATTTTTGAATGATTTTGGAGTAAATTTGTTATGTTATTATTAACTTTTATTTACTTTTTTTTTTTACTTTCTCCTTTGTTATTGATCTCATATCAACATTTTGTCTTTCTGTCTAGTTATTGATACTGGCTATTAAAAATATTGGTCGGTCACTAGGCAAGAGCTACTGTGAGCGTTTGTTCTAGACTGTTGGAGACGGTTCTTTGTGCTAGAACTCTCTGCCACATGTGCTGGTCTCTCTCTCTTAGTTTGCTCTCTCTGTCTCTTACAGCGGATATTTGGTGATACTGCAGAGAAGAACCTTTACCTGTCCCAGCTTATCATCATGGACACACTGGAGAAGTGCCTGGCAGGGGTGAGAGGCAACCGCAGACCATTCATTGTGTCTGATATCCATGAGCTGTCACCATTATGCCATTATTGCCTTTTCAACATCATTTTGAAGCTCCGAGAGGCACATCTAGATGTTGATCATTCCTATAAAGAAGTCCTATAAACTCTTTCTCTCTCCAGCAACCAAAGGACAGCATGCGTCTGGATGAGACAATGCTCTTAAAGCAGTTATTGCCCGAGATCTGTCATTTCATCCATGCGTACCGTGAGGGAAACCAGCACGCGGCCGAGTTGAGGAACTCAGCCTGTGGGGTTCTGTTCTCTCTGAGCTGCAGTAACTTCAGCGCTGTCTTCAGCCGCATCTCCACCAGGTACATACAACCACTTGTGATTAGATGAAGGAATGAATGGGTTTGATCTCTCTGATTTTCTGTCTGTCTGCTTCCCTGCAGGTTGCAGGAGCTGACCGTCTGCTCTGAGGATAACGTAGACGTGCACGACATCGAGCTCATCCAGTACATCAACGTGGACTGCTGTAAATTTAAACGCCTCCTGCAAGGTTTGATTGGAAGGTTTCAATACTCAGGGCTTAAATAAGTTGATTTGGGGAATTCTGGAGAAAATATTAGAGGCAACAGAAAAAGTATCTGTTTTTTCTTTTAATGCGTCAAAGAGTTAAAGATGAAGTCTTTTCTCCTTGCAGAAACTGTGTTGAAATTTAAAGCCTTGAAGAAGCCAGCCCAGTTGAGTGTCATCTACAATTTAGAGAAGGTAGGTGGAATTATTATAGGTATTATGATGATTATGATTATGTGCATATTACGGCTATGTGGCTCATATTATACAATTTAAAATAATAACGAATTATATTATTTTTATTTTTATATATTATTATAAAGAAATGCATTTTATGCATTACCATAACATTATAAAGATTTATTACAATTTAAAGTATGTAATTATAATTCATATTTAGTTATTTATTATTATTATTACTACACAAAAGCAAATTAAAGCTGTGACTCTTTATTAATAATATGATTGTTTTTTATACATAATACTGTAATTAATTTTCATTGTTATATCAAGGACAGTTTCTTGCTTTTATAGATTACATTTTTTAAAAAATATATATTTTAGTGTTTTTGCTTTTTCACGGAACAAACAGAACAACGACAACAGGGGAAAAAAGATAATTACAATAATAAAATAAACAATTAAATAAAATAACCTATGACAGAACAACAGAACATTTGAGGGACAAATGCATACGAAGAAAAATTATGATTTAACTGGACAGGTAATACACAAGCAGGATACAAATTCGTAGATGTTGTAGAGTCACTTAATCCTATGGGTATATATTGAAATAAAATGACTCAAGAATGACAATGGTAATAATAATTATGCACAATACAAAAAGCGTGCATTATCCTGACTATTGTTGACTGTCAAATAATACTTTTATAGATTTTAATGTTTAATTTAACACATTTTTTTTTTATGTGTTGGTGTTTTGTATGAAATTGTCTCTGCTGCCACCTAGTGATGTCCTGTCTCAGTGTAGCAAACATCTGCTGTATTTGTGTGTTTTAATTTGATTGAATTTGCAGGCGTTCTGGAACTGGGTGGAAAATTATGCTGATGAATTCACCAGGCTGTACCAGAGGCCTCAGGCAGACATGGCTGGTGCGTCCGCTGAAAACCTCACTGTATCATATCAGTATTGTTTTGGAGAGGATATGTGAATTTGATCTGTGTGTGTGTGTTTCAGAGTGTGCCGAGAAGTTGTTTGATCTGGTGGATAGTTTTGCTGAGAGTACAAAGAGGAAGGCAGCTGTTTGGCCCCTGCAGATCATCCTCCTCATCCTGTGTCCTGACATCGCTCAAGACATGTCCAGAGACACGTCAGATGACTCGAAAGACAACAAGGCAAGCATACACAAACTTGTGCATGTGTACTTGAGGATCTCCTCTTGACCATTATTGTTCTTAAATTATAAAAACTACTAATAGACAGATTAAATATTTAAATATGTGACCCTGGACCACAAAACTAGTCTCAAGTCGCTGGGGTATGTTTGTAGCAATAGCCAAAAATACAATGGAAACTTATTTATTCAGCTTTCAAATGATGTATAAATCTCAATTTCGAAAAATTGACCCTTATGACTGGTTTTGTGGTCCATGGTCACATATTGTGTAAAGTAAATGTAATTTAGCAATTTGCCATCTTTAAGTTATTTATTTATTTTTATTTCTATAGCACATTCATTTAAAAATAAATGAATGAATATTATTAATAATTTTTTCTTTAATATTTTTATTTAAAATGTTAATTTATTTAAAAAATTCTCACACACACACACACACACACACACATATATATACAGGTGCATCTCAATAAATTAGAATGTCGTGGAAAAGTTAATTTATTTCAGTAATTCAACTCAAATTGTGAAACTCGTGTATTAAATAAATTCAATGCACACAGACTGAAGTAGTTTAAGTAAG